ACAGACATAGTGACAACCTCGCGGGGATAGTCAGGGAAGCTTCCTGTGACCTTCAAACGTCGAGATCTGATGAAAACTCGATTTTTGCAAAACGGGGTGAAAACAATAACTTCCCGATTTTTGAAAATCTGAGATTTTTAGCGGGAAGTTAAAAATTATTCTTCAATTTTTTCTCTGGCGTTTCAATATTTTACAAATTCTGTGTTCATTAAAGTTCGAAAATTTTTTAACATACAAACAACCATTTTTGTCCGGAATTATACAATGTAGCTGTTGAGTTCCTACAATTGGTTTCGTTTTCGAAAATCTGTTATTTAAATCAGTTAATGCTGTATTATAATCTTCTTCTGGAGAAAACTTAACTATGATATTTGGTAAGTTATTCGGATTAGAAGCCCATTCAAAAAATTCTATCGGTGTCGTTATTTGTTTATCAACTGCAAGCTGGAGACTTTCTCTTCCTGCGTGTCGTTTGATGATGCCACCAATTCCATCACATGGACCTTTGCCATGGGCCGTCGCAAAAAAATGCCATTCAGCAAGAATATCAAAATCATCTTCATGATAATGTAAATTTACAAAATTTTTGAAGTTTTTGAACTGTTGAGGAGCTCCATCAGAAAAATAATAAATCTTGTTACAGCGTTCAGGAAGACTTTTTACATAATCAGTTATTAGTTTGATGAAAACATGAACAGCAACGGCATCGTGATTATTACAATCTGAAATAATTACTAAACTTTTGTGATCAAGTTCATCATTTATTTTGTAATATATAACCACCGGAAAAACTGTTGCCTGGTTATTATTCCAGTGAAAACCAGATGCTGCATTTTGTACTACGAACGCGTAATTCTCTGCAAAATCACAAATAATGACAACTTCATTTGGTTTCAGTGTTTCTTTCAATGTTTTCAAAAATTTGGCTTGTTGTTTAGCAATAAACGAGTGAGGTAAAAGAACTTTTAATTCACTACAAAAGTTTTCAATAAATTCTTCTGTCGGCTTGATAAAAGTTTCCAAACTACTTCTCGGTTTTGATATCCAATACTTATACGTAATATTCTCGATCTCCTGATTCTCAAAACATGTTAGTAGAATGTTACTCAACTCATCTACCCCTGGACAGTTGTTACATTCACCCAAATAACATTGCACCGATGGAGTCTCACAAATTATCATGTCCAAACAATCACGATAGTGTTTCATGGGCTTTTCTGTATTTATTGTTAAGGAATGAAGATTTGCACCTAAGAGAAAAGTTGTTAAATAAACAGAAAATTCACACACTTATAATTTTTAATTAATTTGATAATTACCAAGCATCATCAACTTAAAGTTTTGATGGATCGTACATACACAGATGGTGTGTGTTCCACTTGCTCTTGCTAACACACAATGTTTCGGTCGTAAAGAAGCGAATTTCGAAAATCCAATTTTCTCTGTTGGGTTTATTTCACGGAAACATTGGTACAGTTCTTTTAAGTTAGACAAAACAAGCCGTTTTTGGACGTGTACTCGATTACCATCATTATTTCGAACTGAAACAAAGTCTTTCATACCGGGCATCAAAGCACTATACTCATCGTTGTAAAAATTCTCAATTTTTAATAACATTTGATGAGTAATTGTCCTCCCTATACAAAAAATGTTAAGTAATTCAGTCTTCAGATGTACCAGAAACATCAATTCTACGCTATACCTACCTAATTTCGATTCAGGTGTTGAAAGTAGACCCTTTTCTTCAACCAACTTTTTTGCTACCCTTGTTAAATCTCGTGATGTGTTCATAGTTTCACAAATACATCTTTCATTCCATTTTTCAGGTAACAATGTTAAAATTTGTATTTTTAGAGACTTATCCGTTTTTTTATCATTGAATTTATCATGCAGCATTTTAATTAAGGAGCGAAAATTTTCACCATCGTCGTCGATCGATCCTTCATTGGCAGCTGAGAGCAAAATTTTTTTTAAGCTGTCAGATATCTGATTTATTTTATTATTTAAAAATTGATAATCATTCAATTTTTTTGTAGGAATCGGCGATTGATTCAACAGTCGCAGTGCATCGTTTATAACGGGTAATTGAGTTGCAGCGCTAACTTGGGATGCCGAGCTTGATTGTGAATTTCTGGATTCGCTATTAAACGACAAGGAACCTTAAAAAAACAATGAAACATGTAGTAGCTCGGAATGTATTTAAGTAATGTATGAATAATTTAAAAAAACGTACGGAATGATAAGGATAACGGGAGATCCGTGGCAGTTGTATTACTATCACTGTCAGCATCATCATTGTTCTCATTATTGTCACTAAAATCATCATCATGGTCACTTGCATCAACATTAGGATCATCAATAATTTGTTTGTTCCTTTACTAATTTTGAAGCTTCTTTTCGACACGAACTGCATAACAAATAATTTCCATCTAATCCTAACGTTACTTTCATAATGTCAGTTGCTGGACGTAAACCCATTTTTCTTAAATGTGATTCCAACTTAAATGGATTACAACATCGATCGAATTGCTTTATTGATGCCATAATGTCTTCATAAAATTCTTCCAATCAATTTAGATTCATAGAATAAAACAATTAGCTTTTCAAATTACACCAAATCAAAATAGCCTTCATGAACTATAATAATTATTTATTTATGAACCAAATGTAATATCAACAATCTTTCACTAGACACTTGATCGCAGAAAAGATTAACAGCAATTTACAGGTTATATTTTAGACAGTATGAAAAAACCGTATTTATAAATCGATACACACTAGCGTATAGTTTCTAGTATACTGACTGTAGGTAAGTCTACAATTGTCCTACCCTAGTTTATCGACTTTACTGATAAGTTAAAATTTGAATCTCGGTGATTATATTCGTAAATTAAATCTATAAATTGAGAATTGTATCACAAAATCGTTGAATTATTTTTATTTTATGATAGAAATAAAGTTTAAGGAAAAAAAATTTTTTCCATTTTTGAAAATTTGACAATTTTTTTTTTAAATGAATAAAAAAAATATAAAAAAAAATCGGCCCTGCTCGGGATTAGCGGGGATAGTTGTCGAATAAATTGAAGTTTTTTTTGAGAAAAAAAAAAAAAAAGAACATGACGGACTTCGAAAAAATGACGATTTTACTTAAAAAAACCGATTATTTTATATAATTGATCATGTTAAATTTTTTTCGTATATTTTTTCGAAAAGTTCATTCAAAAACAAAAATTTTTTAAAAAAAAGGTACCCAAAAGTCAATTTTTAAAA